ACTGTTGGAACAGGTCCAGAGAAGGGCCACTAAGATGATCACAGGGCTGGAGCACCTCTGCTATGAGGAAAAGTTGAGGGAACTGGTCTTGTTTAGCTTGGAGAAGAGAAGGCTCCAGGGAGACCTCATTGTGGCCTTGCAGTACTTGAATGGAGCGAATACCCTTGTTTACAAGGGTGGATAGTGGTGGGACAATGGGGAATGGTTTTAAACTGATATAGGGGAGGTTTAGGTTGGATATTAGGTGGAAGTTTTTCACCCAGAGGGTAATGATGCACTGGAACAGGTTGCCCAAGGAGGCTGTGGATGCCCCATCCCTGGAGGCATTCAAGGCCAGGCTGGATGTGGCTCTGGGCAGCCTGCTCTGCTGGCTGGCAACCCTGCACATAGCAGGCAGGGGGTTGGAACAAGATGATCATTGTGGTCCTTTTCAACCCAGACCATTCTACTGATTCTGAGCTGCACCTGACACCAGCAGGCTCTGTGTGTGCCTGGACATCCTCCCCGCCTGCCCTTCGCATGCTCACTGCATGATGTCCTACAGCCTCATTGCTGCCCCCAGGTACCACTATTTCTCCCCCCACCTTTAGGTGCTGGGAGCTGCCCCCTGGACAACGAGCACGACCTCTGCCTCCCAGTCAGTGCTCAACAGGCCTGACTGCTCCTGGGCACTTCAGCTGCTTCCTCTGCACTCTTCTTCAGGAGATGGCAAGGGCAGGGGGTTACTGTCCCACATCCAGAGGGGCACTGGCAGCAGTTATGGCGATGTAGAGCATCAGTGAGGAGGAGCTGACTGAAGAGGGGAGGGGATTTTTGAGGGGAGGGATGGGGCTGGTGGGGCAGCCCTGGAACAGAGCCCTTTGTGCTGCCCCGTCCTGCCCTGCAGGTTTGCACAGGGGGCAGGGAGGCTTTGAGGCTGCATGAACGTCTGCAGGCAGAGGTGTAGCAAAGAGAATATGAAACATATAATAATTTGAAATAATTTAACGTAATTTAACATAATTTAACATAACATAAAATATCACAACTTAATCTAATGGAGTCCCACATTGTCCCGTTGTTGGTAGCCCAGGGCTACAGGTAGCCTTATTTGCTGGCCATGGCCATGTCTCCTGCTGCACGACGCGGGCCGGTTTCTGCATTTGTGCTGAGCACACACAGCTTTGCCAAGTGCTGGTGTTTCGGTTGTGAAGCATCCTGGCCCTGCCGCAGATTCCTTTTTGTGCCTTGGATGCTAGTGGCTGAAGACCCTGCACATTGCAGAGGGACTGAAACTATATGATCATTGTGGTCCTTTTCAACCCAGGCAATTGTATGATTCTATGATTCTCCCTTTTCAGAAAAAATAGCTTTTTCAGAAAAGTAGCTGTGTTGTTTGTTGAATCTGTCTTGAGCGACATCAGTATTAAAGCTGTCCAAAAATATTTTGTGTATGCAAAACATTATCTGTCAAGATCATTTTTGCCTATACCATTTGTGTACCAATGACTCTGAGTAAAATATTTACACCCCAGATGGTTGCACTACTCATTTCAGTTAGCTACCTAACTTACTCCAGCAGAGAATTTAACGTTTAATATTATGGGATAAAGGTTTCACAGGAGTTGGCTTCAATAAATTGAAAATTCAAAGCAGAAATGATAAAGCTAATATGATTTGTCAGAACCAAAACCATAGCAATGAGTCAAGATAACTGATAATCAGTGCTATGGACTGCAGTGTATAACTGATATTTATGTCTTGTACCAAAAATGATGAGGATACTGTGATCAAAGAAAGAATGGCAGCACAAGAACAAGAGGGGATGTATTCTGCATTTAAATTTTATATTTACAAGAATATAAACATGTTTAAGAAGACAATTTGTCTGAGAGGATATCCATGAGTGTACCTCACAGCTAATCTGTCATTAATTTGATTTTCATTTCTTTTACTAATGGAATAACTGTACCAAGAACTTTGATATAGTATAATCATTCAGCTACATAATCTAATTTTTTCTTTTTCCCCTATATCACCAATTGATTAACCAAATACCATCTGGAAGGAGCTAAAGGAAATCATTAAACCATCACCATCAATTCATTTTGGAGCAAAATGTAAATTCCTTACATTACCTTCTTTAGTCAACAACCAAATTTTATAGAATCCAATCCACACATACTAGATCTTCACAAATACCTGCATGCTGCAGTGCTAAACGTTTGGCTGAATACTCAGCCCTGACAAGCAATCAAGCCCCATTCAGTGCAGAGGCAGTGCTAGACACTTGTCATCCAGAAAACAGTTGAAAAACAAGCTAAGATGGCAGATGAAATTGTAAGAACAGCAATGGTGCTTGCACAATTGGTGTGATCACATCTTTTAGCTGCTTCTGCACAGGACTCCAGGCTGTGCATCCTTCTGAGAAAAAGGCACCTACATCCTAATGATGAAAACTGAAACATACGCCCATTTTATCACAGTGCCCTGCAGGTGACTACTGGAAGACTCCATGGTAAGGGAAGACCTTTATTTAAAGTGGCATCTCACTAAGAACAAGGACTATTTCTATTTTCTCTAAGGGAAAATACACATTCACACAGGATGGTAGGTGCTGTAAAAGAAGTTTATTTCCTTCACTTCACCACACTTGCATTATGCAGATATTTTTCATAAATACTTGTAACAGAAACTTGTACCTTGGTTTCTATCTGAATGCTCTTAACTTATGAGTTAGTCTCCATTCTCAGTGACCAGTGTAAGGCATCATTTTGGAAAGGAGTGAGGTATCAACTTTGCCCAGTTTGATCATACCTGCCAGCTAGCACAGGTTGCATCTTCCTCCTTGTATTAATGTGGCTGCTTCTTGGTGCACAGCATATGGGAAGTCAGGACCCGTGGTTTGGGGCCAAAGTTTCTAAGAGTGTATTGAGCAGAGATGGCAGGAACTGCTGAGATCTTCATTCACATGGCATAACTAAAAGTAGCACTACGTACAAAGGGAGTCCCAGAGAAATGCAGTGAAGTAGAGGTATTTTTACCCATTCTGGTGCTACATGTTTATTGCCATTTGACTCTATGTGACTGCCAATGCTCTTGTTGCACTTGTTCCCAACTGCTGACCTGTCTGTAATGCTTTAGCACAAAATGGGATTCAGATAAGCCAGTGACAGACATCAGTGTTTAGATTCATGAACCCATCTACAGACACTTAAGCCACATACTTACAGAACACATGAGCAACAATTACAAACAATTTCACAAAAAAAATCCAGACGCCTTGTCCATCCTTGCCAACAAACTGCAGTGCAGTGGTGTATGCATCCACCCCCAATGGGCAGGGAGCATAAAATGGAAATGATGGAATAATCTGTGCCCAGGGTGCTGTCAATCAGCTTTCATCTGATTAGTGGCAATAGGTTTGGTTTACACTCTGTAAGACCTTGGGCAATATGATTCCTGGAAGACACTTTTAGGGACAGAAATGTTAGTAATTTAATTTTATTTCAGAACCTAAAGGTATACTCATACACTGTAGATGTCTTTCTCAGTTGGTGAAACATTCTGTAAAAAACTGCTATTACTATTAATATTTGTTGTTCAGATGAATGAGTTGTTTCATGCTCATTTATTCTACTCTGTAAATAAAACAGTGTAAAGGAAAGTGTATAAAAATAAATCAAAATTTTCAGTTGCTTGGTTTTGTTTTGTTTTGCAATTGTCATCCAGAAAATTCTCTGTTTAAAATCATAATACCTAATTTTCTGTTGCATCTCTCAAAATAAGTAAATGAATAAATAAATAACAGAATAAAATAGAATGAAACACAGAAAAAAAAAAAAACACACAGAAAGTAATTTGAAATTAATAAGCGTTGTTCTCTTTCATTGTCATGGAAAAAAAGAACCCGAAGGTTTGTATGTTAACTTAAATCTTATTTTTTTTTTACAGGTAAAACCAGACTGATCAAATTACATGTAAGACAATGGCCAGTCCAGTTATAAAATCATTCCAAATGCCTTGAAGCTGATATATGTTGATTTCAACTTATGATATGAAGACAAGAATACACAGAGAAACTTTTTTTTTTTTTTTTGCATAAACTAATGGCGAAACTAACCTCCTTACAGCCTGTGAATTTATGCTGAGAATTCTGACCTCAAGGAAGTTACGGGATTTATAAAT